TTACTTGCCCACAGTTATGGGAGGACTGAGCTGCAATGTACAGGTTGTCTGAGCCTGGCCTCTCAAAAGGGTGGCCCCTGAGTGGGTGCAGAACAGGTGTCCTGGGCATCTCACGGTGATCTCCATGGCTCAGTTGTTGCATATGGCAATCTCTCACATCGAGGACATGGATGACACCTGTCATTAATTGTCCTCAGAGCCTCCTTAAAAGAAATTTTGAGGTACTTGTGGCTCCCAAGTCCATCTCATTTTCGAACGTATATCATGCCTTCATGTTTTGAACTGAAAACCTCCAGCAGTTTTTTCTTTATGGATTTGACCTGTTTTTTGTGCCTTAGTTTTTCATATTAAGATGGTGGCCAGCCTGTCCCAACTGTTTGCTTTGGACCCTCCTGGGGGTGCATATTCAGCTCACAAGTGGTTTCGAGGCCAACCGAAACTCCCCAGGAATCATATGTCAGATTCTTGGCCACCCTGGATGGTTAGGCCTGATCTTAACACGCCCTGTTTAAGTTACTTCTCTGTGCCTTGGTCTCTTCATCTTTAAAGTAGAGGTGAGTCCAGAAGCAGTCTCAGAGATGTTTTAAGGATTTAGATATTACCATGTGTCAGATATGAGCCACCTGTCTAGGAATGGGGTTTTGGCTTTTGTGGTGCATGTAGTTTAAAGCACAGAGATGAAGCAGAGTTCAGGGTCAGGTTTTCTGTAGAAAAAGCTCTGTTCATTTTGGGAACAGAAAATTAGTTTCTTTGCCCTCAAGGGTGGTCCATCTGGCCCTGGCTTGAAGGTGAAGAAAAGAGGTTACATCCAGAGCCCTTTATCCCTTGGCTCTGCAGAGAGGCACAGTCTAGCCCCAAAGCTCCAGAAATCAGTTACCTTGAATTCATCGTGCCTTAGGGACATTGCTTGGAGAGTTCCAGAATATCATTACTTAGTGGAAAATATCTGGCAGGAACCTGATATCCTTGTGGCTGACAGGGCTCCACTGTCCTGAGGACAGAATGACTCCTCCAGGGTGGGGCCGTCCCCTGCTCCTTGCCTGCAGGGGTTTACCTGGCACATGCTTGTCTGTGATTCCTGAGCTTCTTTCTAGGGGAGATCTAATAGTGGAAACAAAAATGCACATCATTCTTTATGTTCATTTGATGCCACCCTCCCTCCTGTACTCACTTCTTTGGCACATGCAGGCCTCCCTTCATAATGGGGCCACTTGTCCCCTTTTCCTCTTTAGGCACATTGGTCTTGCTGCATGGCCGACTTTATAGGCATTTTAACCCCACTGACATACTTCTCTGTCGTGCCGCCCTTCTGTTGATACATGCACTCCATATAGGATTGCTTATGTCCTGAACCTTTCTCTGCCTCATTTGCAGCTAGCTACTGGACCAAAAGCTCCTGGCCAGCTGGCAAGGTGTTTATGATATTCACCCGTCTCCTCCTGTCTCACTTGCCCCCACCCCAGTTTCTAAAGTTGTCCAGTAAATGATTACCCCATCCACTTACTAACTATGGGAGTCTGATGTCCTGTGAATGCTTTTCCATCCTCCCTCCCTCTCTGAAAGTTTCCTGCAAACTCTCCTGGCCCACTGGCTTCTCCACGTGAAGCTTGCAGTTGGTCTTGGCTGGCTTCCCTCTAGAGAGACTCACAAACTGAGGCCACAAGCCGGAGGCCCTTTGTGCACATAGCCAGCCCTCCCACTTCCCCCACAGCTCTCATGGAGGCCAGGCTGCCCTCACCACTCCCTCCTCATCCCTGTCCTGTGTTGGTACTTTTGTATGCTTAACTGTGTATGTGTGCGCGTATATGTGTGTGTGTTTAATCAGTACACCTTTATTTTGAAAGGAAGCCACACATGGATATCAGTAAAATTTAAATACCCTGAGAACAAAACAACATTGTTAAATTATGTCCAGATAATAATGTGTAAACCCTCCCAGGGCCTCACCCAAGCCATAGCATGTTGCTCTGCAGGTGGCTGTAGACCCTGCTTCTTTAAGGTTGAGGTCCTACTCTATCAACTAAATCTGAGAGCTTGGAGAAATCCTCTTTTCCTTGCTATTCACCTCAGGATGAAGGCACACCTTTTGTCTACAAGGTTCTGTGCACGGCCAAATGTAACTTCCAGGGTGCTGCCTCCCTCTGTCCCTTCCTCAGGTTGCTTATCACATGCTGCTGTATCTTGGGTCACCAATATCTGTTCTCTATTCTCTGAGCAAGCTTTCTGACAGTTCCACCCCTTACTCCCAGCCTTTGGGTGCTTCTCCCTGGATCTACCTGTAGGTGGCCTCCTTGCCGCTTTCATTGGAGTGCATTTTATTCAAGTCTTGGCTCGGGGGCCCACCTCTCCTTGCCAGGTTCCCAGTCAGGAACACCACATGTGCCTGCCTCCCACCAGTGTCACCTCTGTCCTCGTTGTCGCCCTGCCTTGATTTATGGCCACAGACACTGTTTTTCTGGGCCGCACGTGGCCACTAGTTCTAGCCACACTTGTACCACAAGCACCCTGATGGGTACTTGCTTTGTATTCCCAGAGCCTGAAACAGGCCCAGTTTCATCTGCCTTTGGAAACTGTTGAAGTTCAAATAGTGTTCCTGCGAGCTTGCTATACTATTGCCCTGTTCTGCCATGCCCACTGTCAGATGAAGCTGCTTCAAGGGAATGCCCTTCATGATGTGCACTCCTGGCATGTTGCTCTCTTAATTTGGGGTGCTTCCCACAGGCTGCTTCCCAGCTGGTTGTCACCTCCAGTCCCCACCACGTTCTCATGCCAGCACTGGGTGCCCCTTCTTTATCTCTAGCACCATGTGTGCAAGAAGTACCAGGAAACAGCTTGGTACCCACAAAGCCCTCCCTGATCCCCCTTCCTATAAGTGTTCTGCCTGGGCAGGTGTTCTCCAATAGAGCAAGCCCTTCTTAGAGGTTACCCTTAGGAACAAGCCTTCCCTCCCTTGAGGCTCAAGAGTACTCTGGGAGGCCGCAGACTATAAATTCTTGCCTGGTGTCTTAGATGCAGTTGGATCTCATTAAATACTTAAGTTCAGCATGGGATGCTAGACCACTTTTAGACTCTGGAGCAAGCAGCATGCTCTCCTCATGTTCTCTAGCCAGGTGGTAGCTGTACCTGTGGTTGGCCAGAGCACTGTGGAAGAAAAGCTGTCTTCCTGGCCATGTCAGTTTTGTCAGCCCTCAAACTCATCATGAAACCAGGACCCCAGTTTTAGGCAGGTCAGCCTGCCTGCCTCAGGAGTTCTAGCTCTGCACAGCCCCACAAGACAGACTCACCGCCAAGTTGCCTTTACATAGAAAGGTCTCCCCTGGTGCTTTTAAATTTTGATCATTTACCAGAATTGCATTTACAAAAACCTTTGTGGAAACGCTGGTTTAAATTACATGTGGACTGGATTATAAAATAAATAATCAACAGCTAGAGTGCCTGGCATGTGCTAAGTGTGTTCCAGAAAGAAAGCTGTGACAGAGCCAGCCAGTTTACCCTGTCTTGTTTTATCCCTTCTGCCCTCCAGAGTCCTGTGGTCCTAAAATAGGCCTTCTTTCCTAAGCCCTTGCCTGACTTCCTCAGCCAGAGAAATTCTTTTATCCCTACCGACTCTTGGATTTATTAATGGAGATGCTCCTGTGATGCAGGCAGCTTCTAGCCAGCAAAGTCTGTCTTACTCTGCTGCTCGCTGGGTTTAAAGCTGATCATTTCTTTGCCTCGCCAGTAGGAAAGTGTCAGAAAAACAGTGCACAAAAAGAATGCAAATGGTCAGTACATATTTGGGCCGATGTGGGAACTCTTAGCTCTGTGAGTAAGGGATGGGTTTGTGTTTCTGGAGGGCATTTTGGCAATAAAAATGTGTACCCCTGACCTACAGTTGTCCCTTCAGAATAACTTGAGTGGGTACACAAAATCACCCTCATAAGGATGCTTTTGGCAGAATTGGTGTGGCCTGAAGCAGGGGTCGTTCAGGAGAGAGGGGTCCACAGGACAAGATGCTCAGACAGGCACTGAGCTTGGGGTGGGGGGGGGTCTCACATAGGTCATAGGAGGGTGCCTCTCTGTATCTCTATACATAAGCTTTGAAAAGCAAGTTAATAAAATGGTAGGTCAAGTATGGATTCGTTACTGTGTTATCAGCAATTCCTTGTGGGATTTCTTTAATTAGCAACCATATATTATTTAAGTTGCCAGAAGATGTTCTTAGTAAGTGTGAAGCTTTTTTTGGAGCACTCAGCAGTGGACAGTGGCCATCCAAGAAGGGTGGACCAGCCTTTCTACTTCTCCCTGCCTGGCCTCTGCTTACCAAATGGAATTACTGAATTGATCCCATGGTTCATAAGCCACAAACACAAACAAGAATTTTAATGTAAATGACATATTTGGGGCTTGCAAATCGTCCTCTCTCATACACAGACAGTGTCCCCTAAAAGCTCTCAGATGTTATAGAACCTGGTTTGTACCCAGCCAGCATGGCTCAGCGGTTGAGCATCGACCTATGATCCAAGAGATTGCTGTTCGATTCCCAGTCAGGGCACATTGCAGGCTCAATCCCTGGTGGAGGGCGTGCAGGAGACAGACGGTCAATGACTCTCATCACTGATGTTTCTCTCCCTCTCTCCCTCTGCCCTCCTCTTTTTCCCTCTCCCTCCCCCCCTCCTCTCTGAAATCAAAGATATATTTAAAAAATAAAACCTGGTTTTTTATTCATTGTCCCTCCTCTGTGAGCTCCACAGAGCCACAGCCCCTGCTGCCTTCTGTTTGGTTCACCTCCAATGCCCTGTTCCTCCTCACTGATACCTGATCTCTCTTCCCTTTTGGGTGATGAGTCTTTGAAGAGAGGAGGTCCTGTGCCCTTTTAGTCAGTGCATGGAGTGGCTCCTTGGCCTACCTAATCCATCCAGTCTCTGAGAGCAGCTCAGTCCTTGGTGGTGGTGATGGGGAGACACATGTCATTATGGTGGCATCTCTCTGCTGACGGTGGCTTTTCTTTTCCCTTTTAGAGTGCTCCGTGAAGAATGTGATGGGATCAGTAGCATGTCTTCGGAGAGCGGCCCTGGGACGAGATTAAGAAATCTGCCCGTAATGGGGGATGGACTAGAAACTACCCAAATGTCTGCGACGCAGGCCCAGGCGCAACCCCAGCAAGCCAACACAGCCAGCACCAACCCTCCGCCCCCGGAGACCTCCAACCCCAACAAGCCCAAGAGGCAGACCAACCAACTGCAATATCTGCTCAAAGTGGTGCTCAAGACACTATGGAAACACCAGTTTGCGTGGCCTTTCCAGCAGCCTGTGGATGCCGTCAAGCTAAACCTCCCTGTGAGTAGCTTCGGCAGATCTCAGAGTAGCATCCTCCAGGGCTCCTTTTGTGCTACTCGTGGGGAGGACAGACTCTAGAGCAGGGTAGAGATACCCTTGAGTTGTCAAAGTATGAGGCCCAGTTCTGAAATCCAGCACCCTTGGGGCCCTGGAGTGAGTGGTTTCAGTAGTCCTATGGAGATGAGGAAGGACAGAGGACATGCTTATTGGCTTAAGCAGATTAGGATCCCAGGAAATACTGTGTAGAGAGCAGTTGAAACAAAGGTAAAGGAGTGCTTGCAGTTTTCCCTTCATTCCATGGGGAGCTGAAGTGGGAGCACTTAGGGGTCTGTCCCCCTCTCCTCAGGTGCTCCTGACCTGCCCAGAAGTAGATGCAGTCAAACCGTTCAGGAGGAGGGTGGCTTGCTGCAGGAGCAATCCTCTTCTGGTACTGGTGCCGTCATTGTTACCTAGAGCATAGGGCAGGAAAAGTAGTGGATTGTCTCCCATGGAGCAAGTTCATGGAGGTGGCCTGGCTGGAGGCAGGGTATGGGTGCATCTTTGTCCCAGCTGCCTCTCTGCATGCCCTTATGCCCACCCGCCCCTTCATGGCCACACTGTACTAGCTCTTGTTTTTTTGTGCCCTTGCACCTCCTCTCTAGAGAGATTTCTGTTTGTTCACATCCCTAGCAAATGATTCTGGAAACTCAGCTTGTATCCCTAACTGAACCTCAGGGGACAAACAGGATAAAAGCTTTAATTTTTTTTTTTTTTTCCTTCAAAGCATTGAGGACTGATTGTCTTTAAGTTGCCTTCAGTTGTTTGCCAAGTACCATCCCTGCACCCCCACCCTCTGGACCAGGGATTGGTATTAGATAACCCAGGTAGGGGTTTTCGAATGCTAGAGCTATACAGCTGTAGGAGTCTCCGCCTCGGCCAGGCATTCAGTTTTGAGAAGGATGAACACTGGCATGATTCTCCTGGCTTGAAGGTCACTAATCTGTGACAGCTGTCCAGTGCTCTCTGTCCACTGAATACATGTCGTGCACTCGGGAAGAGAGAATCAGGAGAGGGCATTGCAGGTCTGGGTCATGAACTGGTTCAGAAAAGGGGGTGGAGGCAAAAGTGGTTCCTGGCCAAACTTGGACTTCAAAGGCCACTCTTGCCATTGACTGTGATAAGGGGTAGAGGCAGCCCACCTGTCACTGGGGGGAAGCTCTTGGGAGAGCTTGCTGCTCTGGTCTCTGGCAGAGCTGCCTGTGCAGGGTCCACAGGTAAGGGTGACCTTCCCAGTGCAAATACAAAAAATGGGGGAAAAGAAGCCCTGGGGTGGAAACCAGGGAGGTGGGAGCTTGCAAAGGGGAGCCAGGAGACATGCCAGCAGAGAGCAGTCCCCCATGTCTCCACATTGGAGGCTACAGGGGGGCCAGAGATGAGGATTTCGACCTGACCCTCCTGTTGGCTTTAGGAGGGCATTGGTGACCTTAGGAAGATGTGACGCAGAAGTAGAAACCAGATTCGCGACGGTGTGAATGAGAAGGTGAGGACACGAAGCCATCATTTGAAGAAATTTGGCTTTGAAGGGAAATGCAGCAGGGTCAGAACAAAGAATGGGGTTGGTTTGTATAGGATGGCTCAGAGGGCTGAGAAGGTGAGGCAGACAGGCAGGAGAAAGGGCACTGGGTGATGCCAGATTTTTAGGCTGCAGCGTCCCAGCCAGTGGGACAGACATGGGGGAGGGTGGCCTATTAGGCCAAGGGTTCCCCTTGTCTCTGTGACTGTTGACATCACCCTCAGCAGTTCTAATGTAGGAAGGTGAGATGGATGGACAGTTGCACTGATCCAGTATCTTCAGAGAGGTGAGGGTAGTGAAGAGCAGACCCAGAGGGGTGGGGGTGGGTCGTAGTGGGTGCTGATCGGCTGGGAGCAATGTCATGTTAAACCGTTTTTTAGGGACACCTCCCCCCTTTCAGAGATGTTGATAGGTCCGACCAAAAAAGGTTTCCTCCTTTTTCTGTTTTCTGATGCCTTTCAGATCTTTACCTCCATTTTGGCCTTTGGTCCTTGCTGGATGTTTCACTAGAAGGCCTGCCTCTTTCAAATTTAGTACACGTTTGGTCAGACTATCATGCCACTAAACCCACTACCCCGTCTGTCCCTTCTCCCCACCACTCCCCTCTTGTCTTCATCCCACCTTCTCCCACCTGCTCCATCCTCAACCACTGTCCTGTTTGCCCTTGAGACACGACACACCGTGGCCACTTCACACATCTGACACCTTCTACGAGACCTCTGGCCATGAATTGTGAATTTTTACTGGGGCAGATATTTTGGACTTGATTCTCTTGAGGGGGGTCATCAGAGCATTATATACAAAGTCTGGTTCAGTCTCCCCTTCAGGGTCTCCTAGCCAGGATGCCTGGAATCTGTGTAAGCTGGTGACTTTTGTTTCTTTCTCCTGGGTGTCAGAGCGACTCAAAACCTCACACCCCCAGCTTGCGTTTTCAGTACTCCCACCATTGTTCCTGGACAGGACGTTGGCACATGCTGATAGGCCTGCCCCAGCAATCGGTCTTCCACTTGGACTTGGTTCTGATACCCATCCAAGCCTAATTATGGGGTTCTTGGTGGGGCTGGCTGGCTGCATGTAGGTCCCCTGCCTGGTCCTTCCTCCTGGAAACCCAGGTGCTGCCTGATCTGTTCCCAAATTCCCCTGTGGTGGTTTTAAAAAATAAACATTTGGTTTTAGTATTGTAGACTTAAAGGGAAGCTGTGATGTTAGTACTGTTTGATCCAAAGGCCTTTAGGACTTCTATGCCTTCCATCTGGCTCCTTCTGTTTGGCACTTAAAGAATAAGATCCAAGGGTTTAAGGAGTGGTTCCATGAAGTCTGTGCAGATTCCTCATTTGGCAGTTAACCTTTTTAGTTGTTAGTTGTTCCCAATGCTAATGGGTCCTTAGTGGTAAACTGTACAAGTAAAAGAAGTAAAAGTTCAATGAATTTGACTGAAGGTGAAGGTCTGCTCCATGGTTCTTCAGTGTGACAGGAAACAAGGGATCCAGTTGTTAGGGGTGGGTTCCAGTTTGTTAGGGGTGGGCTCCACTGCTGGTTCCATAGGAGTTTGCATTTTATGGACACATAAAATTTCACATGGTGGAGAGAAAGTAGAACTTGCCGCAGGTGGTTTTACTATGTAAGAACTGCTTTTTAAAGGCTGTATGTTCTCCCCGTTAATTATTAAAAATGGTTACTTTAACATAAAAGAAAAAATAGATCTCAGTAAAGACAACCTGTTCCCAGACAGGGCATTTGGCAGACTTGAACTTTTTTCTTCCAAATTTCCACCCAGCATTTGGGAATCCTTCCCTGGCCTACTTTATCTTGGGGGGGGGGTCCCTTTGAGATTGTTCACTGATGCTGCAGAAGAGTTTCGGGCTGTGCATCTGTGGAGTGACCTGTGAGATCCGTAGGCCCACCTACGAGTGCTGTGTGACTGCGGAGGTGACACTGGCCTTTTGCTCTCTCTGCTCTGCAGGATTACTATAAGATCATTAAAACACCTATGGATATGGGAACAATAAAGAAGCGCTTGGAAAACAACTATTACTGGAATGCTCAGGAATGTATCCAGGACTTCAACACTATGTTTACAAATTGTTACATCTACAACAAGGTGAGATGTGAGGGCCAGTGCCCACCTGCCCTATGGGGAGGAGGAGGTGGGTGTGTCTGGAGCCCGGGGGGAGGGATGTTGGAGCAGATTGGAGTCTGAGAGAGGACACTGTTAGAGGCAAGGGTAATGGAACCCATGATCTTGCCTGTGACTTAATGTGGTGTGTGTTTTTTGTGGGGAGAGGGGTGCTGCCATCTTTTATTTCTGAGCCGTCCTTGTTAGCTTGAAGTATGTGCTGCTTATGCCCTTGGGATTTTGGTTCTTCAGTGTGTGTAGTAGAGAAGGTGTGAGAACAGTGACAACTTGTTAAAATGTCCATTTGGATAATGTAAATTGTCAGAAAGAAAGCTAATAAAATGCAGTTGTGCAAAGGTGTGCTCAAACAGAAACCTCAATGTGAGAGGGAACGATAGGGCCTGCCTCATCTGAACTGTGAACATGACCATTGTCACCTTGTGGCTATAAAATCAAGTGTCCCCCAGTCTTACACATACACCTGAAAATCACTTCTTAACCCAGTAGCCAAACCCTTCAGCTCGGCTGTGATATGAAGCCGGATCATTTGTTTACAGTTCAGACCACAGATGTGATTAAAACCAACCCTTTCAAATAGAACGACCCTGGAGGGAGACACTATACAGAACTCAGCTTTTGACCTCTGCTGGTGTAGTGAGTAAAATTGCCCAGAAGAGATGGGTAGGTGAGTTTCTTGAAGTTTACCATATTTTTTAAAGTCTCAGCTCTCACCATTAGATTTAAGGTAAATGTGCACAGATTAGGTTCTTAGGTTAGAGCTGAGTGGAAACAGCATGTTACAGACGAGGGGAGATTGGGGTCCCATAAGGCAGTATGAGATGGGCATTGCCCGGATCCCCAGTGAGCTGCCTTGGGAGTACCCTGGGGAACATAGTTGGAGTCCTGCTAACATATCTGTGGCAAGAAATCGTGTAATTCAGTTATATCTAGTGAAGGTGAATTGTACCAAGGGAAGGGCGTCTGTCTGATTGGCAGATTGTTAGATGTTTAAGGCATTGGGATGGTTTCTGAGATTGTCCAGAGCTTAAAAAACTAGAGAGGAGGTGTTGGGTCAGCAGACCTGCAGGCATACGAGACACTGATGCCTAATGGTATAACTGTGTTGTGGGCCTTTGGGGTTCAGCTCAGCAACCCTGAATATAATGCTTCACACTTCGGGGAAGGGGTGGGTGGCACAGTGTGGGGAGCTCTTGCTCTGCTTAGAAGTGGGGGACTTTCTGACCCTCACTCTACATGTCTCTTCCAGCCTGGAGATGACATAGTCTTAATGGCAGAAGCTCTGGAGAAGCTCTTCTTACAAAAAATCAACGAACTGCCCACAGAAGAAACAGAAATCATGATAGTCCCGGCAAAAGGAAGAGGACGTGGGAGGAAAGAAGCAGGTAGGGGACCCCACACTGAAATAGCCAGGAAATGGCTTCATTTCTCCCCAATATTTGTCCTCCTCCACCTCCAGTGGAAGACTTGGAGTGATAGGAAGATGGCTGCTATTTGAATACAGTAGGACCAGGTTCAGCAGTGGATCTGCCCCAGAGGGTTCCATGACCATGTAACCTTCCCCCAAAGTAGAAATAACTGAGCCCTGCCTTTTTTGATGGACTTGAGTTAAAAAGAAAGTATAACTTTTTCAAAGCATTTTTAAGTTATGTGAATTCTTTGCCCTACCAGCACCACAGATAGTCTCTTTCCATTTTAGAGAAAAGAAATGAACTTGACCAAAGGCAATTTTAACTAAAACCCAGTCCTAGAGCCTTGGGGTTTGATAACCTGAATTACCTTAATGCACTTGTGTTGGAGCCCTTCCTGCTTTAGTGTCCCATCTTCTAGCCTGCCTTGCCTATTTCTAGTGCCTATTCTCACCTTCTGCATCTTGCCGTACATGGCTCCATGCTGCAGAATGGTGATGCTTGCCAGGTGGCCATGCTGTGAGCTTTGTGCTTCCCTCAGGAGCTGGCTTTGAAGACCTGGCTTCCCACCCTGCTCAGAAGTGGTGGCTTCATGGGAGCAAAGGGAGTTGGTTGCCCTGCAGTGCTGAGGGGTGGTCTTGATTCACCTATTAGCCACAGAGCCTGCCTAGAGGTGTCTGGTCTCCTTTCAGCCGAGGAGCCCCACCC